TAAGTTAAATTCGTGTTTTAATCCTGTAGCTTTGCACACATTTGATTTCCATGTTTGAGTACTGCAAGTGTTCAGATCATCTGCGATCATCTCTGAGGGACAGCTGATGAGACCGAGGCTTTCCACCCTTGATGATACAGGACAAATTCAGCAGTGTGTGAGGAAGAGCCAGCACCAGCTGAGAGATGAAGAGAACACAAATCGCAGCAAAAAAATTTTCTGGCACAACTTCACCTGCTTCCAAGGTGCATGGAGAGGATAAGCTTGATGAAGGCCACAAGCCGAAACGCGTTGGTCTATTATTAAAGATGAAGAGAACAGACAGACCGTTCTCTCTATGAGAGGGACTACTTAAAAAAAAGAAAAGAAAAAAAGTTTAAAATAACTAATTATCTGTCCTAAATCAATCTTATTAGGTAAAGTGTGGAAGAAAGTACTCAGGGCGCTCAATAAAAAAAACTATGAAAGGCAGTAAAAAGTTCTATATTCAGAAACTTAAAGTACGCAAATATCAGCAGCAGAATGCACCTGAAAATAAAAGTCTGTGTTTCTTTCAGTTATATGAAACAGAGTGTTTTGGATTAGTAGTACTGCTGTTTGTTGAATTATATTGCTGTAGATGTTTATATGCTTTATGTATTTTGGGGTAAGTTGATCTATAGTGCTATAATTTATAAGGATGTTATGTTTTTTTAATCATTTTTGCCAAGTCAGTCTGTTTAAGGCTCTGATATCTATTCAATATGACTTAAAACAGTTATGGGATGATTTTCTCAAAATCAAAATAAATTTTTCACAAAATTGACAAATCAATAAATCAATCTACTCTTCATTTTATCTAACAAACACATAGTTATCACAGCTCGTAAATTGTCTTTTTACCCATATAAGTAAGCTTTCAGACAAATTTGGTATTGCCAATATATTAAAAGAACAATATTTGCCTCTCTTATTTGAAACAGAGTTAAAGTTCACTGCTGTACATTTTTAATTAAATGCAATACATTTAATATTGGCCATGTTATATTTACAAACTGAAATGACACTAGTCTCATTAACAACATTAGCTAACTAGTTAATCTTAAAATTACTGTTGGGTACAGAAATTAAGCCCAACAATATGGTATTTACAGTCCTGTGGTCTTAGCCTCAGATACTTCACAAACCAAAAAAATCTAATTAAAAAACCCACATAATTTTCGCTTTCTAAAGGCCAGGTGCTTGGAAGGATGCAACCCATGAATTGGGACGCACCATGTATGTGTATGTATGTCTGCGTTACCTTGACAACGTTGTCAGGAAAACCTGGCCGGCAGCACTGCAGGATCCTTCGTCGAACCTGAACCAGAGATTTCCTCAGCAGGAACTGGGACACCAGCTTGGGCGGGTCACATGACCCTTCCATATTCCTGAGGCCGAGCACCAACAGACTGAAACACACACACACACACACACACACACACACAC